ACTGGCCCAGCAGAAGCCAATTAGCAAGGTGTGAAAGATGCACAGTCTACAGCTGCCTCCTTCAGTCACATCCATGAAGGATGCACTTCAGTCAAAACTGAAATGCTGTCCCTCTCCAACCTGGACAAAGAGTCCATCAGGGATGGCAAAACAGCAGAGGCACTGGAGGAGCACTCAGTCAGGGCAGCTGCCCAGGTCACACCAAGGTCTGAGCACTCCTCAGCCCCTTAGCTCTCAGGTTTCAAAAACCACAGGGCTGCTTCTTGAAAATGTCCCCATTCATAAATTTGCAAATGCTTCCCCTTCACAGAGCAGGCAGAAATACAAGGAGCTGAGCCAGAACTGAGGCCAGCACTGGAGCTTTACTGTGTGGGAAGGCAGCTGCCTAAGGAGACGCCAAGGATCTCTGCCTCAACCAAAGCCCCTCGCAAGAGGAGAGAACTCCCCAGCTGGTGTCCCCACGGGCTTACCTTGCCAATAACGAAGATGTTGGAGAGCCTGGTGGCAAAGCTGTTGCCGTTGGCGTCTTTCACATGGACCACGTCGAACGAGCCGGGGTGTCTCTCCCGGTTGGTGATCACCCCAATACGGCCCAAGTTGGCACCACCAGTCACCATGCACAGGTTACCTGGGTGAGGGAATACCAGTGTGACAAGAGCTGGCATCAGATGCTGTGGTGAAGCCCTTCCCACCTGGGCTCTCGGCCCATACCAAACATTCCCCACCACCTTCTCAGTTCTGCCAGCACCAAGGAGGCATTCCCATCACACCCATGCTGGCACTGCCCACAGCTCTGTGAGTGAAACCTTCTCCCACCACAAAGAGACAGGACTCTCCCTACGGTTGCCCAGAGCTTGTCACGCACAGCCCCACAAGCGCCAGGCTCAAGCACCTCCCCACCAGCTGGCTGCTTCTCCCTGGTGCCTCAGAACCACCCCAAGTCCCTACATCAATGCCTCCCACTGCCAGCACACAGGAGGGATCCCTGCTCCAGCTCCAGGTGGAGATGCCCTTGGGAAACAACCCCTTTCCCAAAGCTGACACCATTGCCTCTGTACTTTAGAGCAGATATGCCTGGCATGTGTTTTACCTCCACACTGCTCTCCATACTGGGGATGGGTACAGTGCTTTACATGGGATGCAAGACCTACCTGTGTCAAACTTGATGAAGTCTGTGATCTTGCCCGTCTCCAGGTCAATCTGGACCGTGTCATTCACCTTGATGAGGGGGTCAGGATAGCGGATAGTGCGGGCATCGTGGGTCACCAGGTGAGGGATTCCTTTGGTGCCCACGAAGATCTTCCTCACCTTGCACAGCTTGTACTGCAAACAAAGCCCAGCACTGCTCAGCTGAGGCAGCTCAGCAGCCCAGGGACTAGGGGACTCTTGTCCCCCAGAGAGCCACCAGCCACAGCAGGACACCCAGACACAGCAGGGCTCAGAACACGAGTCCAGGTAGCGACTTGCCCAGCTCCCTGCCCAAGTAATGCCTCTCCAACAGCTGCCACTGCAGCTCTGCTACAGCCCCACCAGAAAACACCTCTGCTGTGGGAGCAGCTGCCCACTTTGGGCTTCAGCCTCTGCTCAAACACTGGCTGCACCTTCCCAGGGAAAGCCTTCACCAGGGCAGGTCCCTCATTTTTCCCTGAAGCCTGCGGGCATACAGCAGAGGCTACGTTTCTCCAGTGCCCAAGAGAGATCTGTATTCTCTCCTCCAGGGCACTCTGATTTCCCTGCTGCCTGTCATCCCCAACTCCCTCACAGCCACTCATGGGCCAACACAGAGTGGCACTCAGAGGCAAAAGCACAGAGGTCCCAAACCACACTTCAGGCAGCTCCAGCACAGCCAGCTCTGCCCTCCACATTGTCATGTGCCTACACAGCCTGCCCTAAGGAAGCAGAGCTTTAAAGCTCAGGCACAACAACATGCCTGGGTTAAGGAAACACATGTGGGAGTTGCTCTCAAGCACCCAGGGCGAGAAGGCAATTTTATTAAGACTTCCATAACTGACCCAAGAAAGATTTCAAGGCTTTTACACCACAGGCAGTTTCACGTTTCTGACCACTGTTAGCTGGCAAAGCCAAGGCTCACCCCCACCCCAAAGCTCCCTGTGCAGGTGACCCAGTCCATGCCAGCAGCATCACCTCCAGCACCAGACAATGCACCTGCAGCCATCTGGGAGCTGTTCTCATGTCACCAAGAGACCTCCCCCCACCAGCGGCTTCACCCCAACCCTGAAAGCCCCGATTTCCTCAAGTGCAGCATGGCCTCAGCTGTCAGGGAAGAGAAACAACAGCTCTCATTCAGGAGACACCAAAGAGGAAGCCCTGCCCCAACCAAACCCAACTGGGCCCACGCTCACACCAAGCCCCTCACCTTGGCCTCCTCAGCTGTGATGCGGTGAACAGCAAACCGGCCCTTGGTGTCATACACCAGGCGGAAATGCTCGCCTGTCTTCTCGATGCTGATGACATCTGATTGCAGAGAGGGAAATAAATCAGCTCATCACCCAAGACTCTCAACTCACGTTAAAAAAGGGCCAGGGACTGATGAAAAACGCTTTGGATGTGAATGACAAGGTTGGGATCTCCCCCTGACCACAGGCTCACATCCTGTGCTGTGATAAGACTGCAAATTAGCAAAAACTGCCCAATGGTTGGGTCTGAACAGCAATTTACACAGCTCAAGCAGGCAGTTACAGCCTACAGGTATCTGGCTGTGGCATTCATTGCAGTGCACAACTCCAAACCAAATAACAATGGCTTATACATATTTTTTCTTCAGCTCCACCAGGGAAATACCTTTCCCCTCCAAATCATGCCAGTCCAATAAAACATTCTCCCCACCAGTGCAGAGATGCCCCAGGTCCTGCCCCAGCCCCGCTCACCCATGAAGCCTGCAGGGTAGGTGATGTCGGTGCGGACTTTGCCATCGATCTTGATGAACCTCTGCATGCAGATCTTCTTCACCTCGTCCCCTGTCAGGGCATACTTCAGCCGGTTGCGCAGGAAGATGATGAGGGGAAGGCACTCCCTCAGCTTGTGAGGGCCTGTCGATGGACGGGGTGCCTGCGGGCAGAAACCCTCTGCTGGGGGCTCAAGCAGCACCGACCACCCCCAGAGGAGGAACTCGAGAGGAGAGGTCCAGAGTGCAGCTGCCCCACAGGCAGCAACCGGACACAGCTCCCTGGCATTCGCAGCAGTTTCCCCCGTGTCCTGCCAGCCTCACAGAGCCGCCCCCGATACAGCACAACTACTTATGTCACCCCAGCGACGGGAAAGCGCAACAGGCAGGTTAAAAGAGAGCAGCCAACGACCCCACCACCGCATCCTCTTCAATGAGGGGAAACACGAACGCTGTTCACAAAGCCCCTAACAGCGAACACCCCCTGAGCTGCCCAACCGCCCAAGCTCACCAGCGACCGAGCACCTCCCCTGATGCGACCCCAACCCCGACCCCGACCCCGACCCCATCCCGCACTCACGAAGACGCCCGTCAGCTTGTCCAGCATCCAGTGCTTGGGCGCAGCCACGCGCTTCAGATGCTTCTTGGGGCCGCGGGCCTACAGGACGGGACGTGTTACGGGATGATGCGCTACGGGCCGCCGCCATCGCGGGGCCCTCCCAGCCGCCCCTCCCCGGCCCCCTCAGCCTCCCGCCCCCCGAGCCCCGGCGCGGGACTCCCTCCCGCGCCTCTCGCCCCGGGCTGGGGAGGCCGCGGCCCGCGGGGAGCGGCGGATGGCGGCGGATGAGGGCGGGGAGCGGCCGCGCCGCGCTCTCACCATGGCTGCGCTCCGCCGGGAAAGGGCCGCGCTTCCGGCCCGCCCCGCCTCGGCACAGCGCGGCAATGGCGGCGGGCGGCGCCCCCTGGCGGCTCGGAGGACCAGCGCCGCCTACGGGGTGACGGGGAGGGCAAGAGGGATCCGAGGGGGAACAACGCGATCGGGACACCGCGATCGGGGACACTACGATCGGGACACTCCGCTCGCGGCACCCTGCTCGGCGACAGCGCGCTCGGGACATGCCGCTGGGGACACCGCGATCGGGGACACCCCGCTCGGGGATACCGCAATCGGGGACATCGTGCTCGGGACACCCTGCTCGGGGACACCCAGCTTGGGGACATCGCGCTCGTGTCGGGGGACACCCTGCTCGAGGACACCGCGCTCGTGTCGGGACGCAGGGGGGGAGGATGACCGGCTCCTTCCCGGTCCCCGCTGGTGTTCCCGTGGGACAGCTCCCCCACGTTGTGCCCCTGCGGTTTGGGACAGTGTGTGTCGGGAGCTGAGCCAGCGGTGACACCTGTGACGGGCCACTGCCGTCCTCTCGCCCTCAGCCCCTCACGGGGTGGACCTGGGACCCCACGCAGCCCCCCCAAAACCGACTCCGTCCCTAAGCACCCGCTACCGAAGGCATTTGGGGGGGTCAGTGGTCCCAGCTGCGCCCCCCAGGGAGGCAGACGTGTCCCCACAGCTTTCCAGAGTCCCCGGGACACCTTCAGACCCCGCGCCCCGCCAGGCAGCCCAGTGCAGCGGCCCCAGAGCATCGCTCCCGCAGCGGGTGGGACAGAGGTCCCATTCCCGCGGGGACATCACCGAGGTGGCACCTCTGGTTACTGCCACCATAACCCGAGAGGAGGCTCAGGAGCTGGGGGGGACAGACCCTCCTTCCACCCGGGGCCGCTTCCCACAGTGTCCTCCACGGAGATGGACAAGGAAAGGGGCACAGCCAGGACGGAACAGTCCTCCCAGATTTTATTACACAGCAGCCTGAGCCGCCTGGCCCAGCGTGACGCCCGCGTTTTGGGGGGCGGGCAGCGCGACCGCAGCCCTTCCTCCTGCCCCTTCCCACCCTCGGCCGGGCTCTGAGCGCTCCCTGCGCCCGCAGCACCGGCCCGTGGGGCAGCCGGGGTGCTGCCCGCGCCCAGCGGCACCGGACCACGGTGTCCCGGTGGGTGGGGTGAGCCGAGAGCCCCCTGCCCCGGCTGGAGCCCTCCAGCCTCAGCAGCTGGCCGGCAGGTCCGCGGGGGAGTCGAACTCGTGGTGGCCGAGCCAGAGCTCCGGCAGCTCGACCGCCCTGTCGAGGCCAAGCTCCAGCACCAGCGCCCTGAGCACCTCCTCGTCCACCGGGTCCGAGTCGATGATGCCGGGGCGGGCGGGCTGGAGGGGGCGGCTCCCCGCGCCCCGCGGCCCCAGGCCCCGGGCGGGCGGCGAGCGGGGCTCCGTGCGGCGCCGGGCTCGCCCCAAGGTGCGGTGCGGGATGCGGAGCTTCTGCAGGCGCCAGCTGGCCAGGAATTGGGAACCCGCCCGCGGGGCCACAGGGGCGGCGGGGGCAGGCGGAGACCCCGGCAGCCCCCCGGCACCGCAGGGGTAGCGCAGCATCGCCGCCACCTCGAGGTCCTTCGTGCCCCGGGGAGGGGATTGTGGAGAGCTCATCTCCGGGCTCTGCGGGGGTGGTCCGGCGAGGAGTCCAGACGGGGAGGGAGGCTGGAGAGGCAGCCCGGTCGCACTCGCCCGGGTGGCCCCGCTCCCCGGGGGCAGCCGCCGCCGTCTGATTTATAGCGGCCACGCCGCGGGGGAAGGCGAAGGGAAGCTGGGCCGTCGGGCGAGCCGGTCGGGCAGGGAGGGACGGACGGGGCGGGACGGCCCAGGGGGGCGGTGCTGGCACCGCCTGCCCCTCCGGCCCCCGGCCGGACCCCCGTGTCCCGCCCTTCCAGGCTGGGTTCCTCTGTGTCCTCCCGGTCTGGGATGGGACCCCACCTCGTCTCCTCCTGTCCAGGCTGGAACACGCTTGTAACACGTGTCCAGGGTGGGGGACAACAGTGGGGTTCAGGTGGTGGCAGGGCTGCCAGGGCAACGAGGACTGGTGCCCTCAGCCAGCTGGAAAAGGGTGTGAGGGGGCTGTTTGTGGTGGCACTGGGGGCACCCTCCGAGCCTTTGTCCCACCTTTTGCACTTTTCTTGCTTCGCACTGAGTTGAGCTCCAATTGTCTCTCCACATTCGGAGATGTGGATGGGGATGGTAGAGGGGGTGCCTTACCCCATGGCTCAGTTTTCTCAGCTGTCTGTGGGTGGGCAACCTGCCTACAGGTCTCCCTGCACCTCACCTAAAGCCCATTTAGTACTGCAGTGCTTGACACTTGTGGGGTTTCCTATTGTTTATTTTCCCAGTTGTGTTCCTGAAGCAGCTCCCACAGCTCACGGGGAAGTCTGCCTGGTGCAGGGACAGAGCATGTGGGGCCCTGAGGTTGGTCAGAGGAGGCAGCTGGCCAGCTTCTCTGCTCTCCCCTTCCTCACTTTTCCCCCGGCTGAACAGTCCCCAGGACACTGGAACCCTTTGCTGGGCTGGTGGCAGCACCAGCCTCCTGCCAGCAGTCACCACACAAGACTGGTCTCTCCCCACCACACCACAGCAGGTGCCAAGGGTACATGGAAGCGGGGAAGGGGGTCAGGAGTCATGGGAGCCACATCCTGCTGAACTCCCTCCACGCCAGATTTCCTGTTGTTTCAATCGGCAGTGAAAAACAAGAGAGCAAAACAAAGCCGAGGCCAGGCTGGGAGCCCCTTCATCTTGCTATTTATTCCAGTGTAATCTAATTAAAGCCACAGGAAATATGCTTTCCCACAGTGACTGGACATCTTAAAAAAATCCCAGCACAACAAAAGTTCCGTGGGCCAGGTCAATGAGGGGACAAGAGCAGCAGAGGCCAGGCCCTGTGGCCTGAAGCACCAGGAGAGATCTGCCCCGGATACCTCTATACCTGTTTACCTGTTCCCTTGCTTAGATGCCCTGTGCCCACTCACATGGGGCACTGGGGCATCTGGAAGTCCATCCAAGATCTCCTGGGATAGGAGCTGCCATAATGAATCTCCCTCGACACTCTGGAGAGGATCCCCAGGGTCTGGCCACCCATGGCCTTGCAGGGTGGGGGGGATGCTGCAGAAAAGAGCACTGGCAAGGCAGGGTGGGCGCAGGAAGAAAGGAAAGGGCTGGAGGAGTATTTCAAACATTTTATTTTTAAAAAATTCCCAGTTAAAAACACAATGGCTGTGCCTTTCTGTGGGTAAGAGACACAGCCTGTGCCCCAGGCTGGCCCTCAGCTCTGCTTCCCGAGCGGGCAGCTCCGAGGCTGTGCCCCCTGCCAGGAAGGTACCGTGGCTCTGGGCTCCAGCTGGGGAGGGCTCGAAGCTCTGAGCAGCCTCTCTCTTAAAAAACATTTAAAACCAGTTGTGAGAACAAACTCTGTGGTGTTAAAAAAGGAAAGGGGAAGGAGCAAGGGAGGCTCTGCCGGCACTGGAAGGCTGTGGCTGGAGGGCCCACACTCCTGCCTGGGGAGAGCCACAGTGCTCGTGACGTGCAGCAGCTTTTCTTCTTAAAAGAGAAAAAAATTAACCAACCAACAGTAATTTCTTCCAAATTTTCCCTGCAGCCACAAATTTCACGAGTTGCTCAGGTAAATACGCTGTCTTCCCCATGGGAAATGCTCTTGCAGAAACTGAGCCTTCCTCCTCTGCTAAACAACATGCTTCAGATTCCCTGCAAATAAAAGGAAGCAGGAGAGGTTTCACTTTATTTTAAGAATTTTTTTACAGTGAGAACAATCACTGGAGTAAACTCCACAGGGACATGGTAGAGGCCTCAGTGGCAGAAGGTTTCAAGATGTGACTGGACAGAGTGCTAGATAATCTTGTCTAGCCTCCCTTTCCCACAAAAAAGTTGGACCAGGTGATCTTTGAAGTCCTTTAGAACCTGGGCTGTTCCGTGATTCCAGTAAGGACAAGGCCCTGTGCTCCTCTGCCCAGCTAGAGGACATGGCTACAGGGACCCACAGTTCCATATCACCAACCCTGAGAATCCCAAGGGAAGCAAGAGGTAGATGACTCTGTGCACTAATGGGCAGCCAAGTGAACATGGTTCATCTTTCTAGTCAGTGAGAAAGACTCCAGTGAGCTCTTCTGAAGCCCTCTCTAAAAGGACCTGGAAGCCCAAAGCAGGAGTGTTGGCCTGGACAACTCACCTTTGATAGAGTTCAGAATTTCTTGAATTCTCTGTGGCTCGTTGCGGTCTGGTCTGCAGCTCGGGGTGATCTCCAGCACGTAATCAGGACCATACTCTGTGAAGAACTGGAGGGAAGAGGAGGGGAGAGTCAGCAGAGAGGCCTCTGGTGGCTGAGGCTGGGGGCAGGGTTCTCTGTGGGTACCTGTTTGGAAAAAGGCAAAAAACAGTTTCTCCATCTGAGGGCCACATGTGGCTTCACGACACCAAGGTGGTGCTTCTGCAGTGTCTGTGCCCACCTGGAGTTTTCAACCATTTCCCAGTTCAAGGGCTTGGGAAGCAGAGCCCGATGGTGCAGCCAAAAGCAGTCAAGTGTCTATCCCAGTGTTTAATTTGGGAAAGCTGTTGACACTCATTTTACACATGATTAACCTGATTTTTTAGTCAACAAAATTCAAGTGCTACCTATTCTACTGAATAATGCCAGACCTGACAACAAGTACTATGCCAACAGCAAAAAATTAGGCATCTTACAGAAGCCCACATTCTGTTCCTGATTTTAGGACAAACAGGTTCCACTGGTGGAACCTACTGCGATGGGACCATGACTCAGGGCACCATCAGCACTGGATGTTCAAGGAATTCTACGCTGGTCTTTCCAGACATCCTCAGACTACTTAAACACCATTACACTGATGCTCAGTCAAATGTTTCTGGGCCTCCAAACCACAGCTGTCTTGTTTTCAAGCCCTTCTCTACAAATTTGTGGACAAAAAAAAAAAAAAGACCAAAAGACCTCCAGGTTTCTGAATATTGTCTTTCTTTCATAGTAACTTGATTTCAAGACCTGGAGCTGTCAAGAACATCCCCAAGCCCCTCAAGGCTTTAGGAGAAGCAAAGTGCTGAATACAACTGTGTGGAATTTGGCCCATCATTACTAAAAGAGTTTGCCAAACCTGGAGACTGATGGAACAGCACAGCCTGGCCACCTCACAGCCAGTGCTTCAGCAACAATCTGTCCCAGGCCACAAACTCTCAGGAGTTTCCTTCAGGAGGTGAGCAGATCCCTGTGGCTGGACAGCAGGAAAGCAGCGGTGGGACTGCCTTTAAGCTGCTCACAGTCAGGAATTCTGCACTGATCTCAAAAAGCTGACAGCTCAGTTTCCATGTTTCGTGTTAATCAGAATGGGAATTCCTATTTAAAGCAAAGAAAACATGAAATCAGGAAGTACCAACCTTTGTTTCTGTGCACAGGCACTGATAAGCTATTAAACCACTAGTGGTTCTCTGCCAGAAGCAGCAGGAAAAAAGCCCTGGGAATCTGACAAAAAGACATCAACCCTCTGTGCACACAAATTCATCCACATACAGTGAAAGCTCATGCTGCCTCCCTTCCAATTATTCCCTAGCTGTGTAAATATTTCATTCTCACTGGCCTCCAAACCATTCCTCTTCCTTCATGGCTTTTCCCCCCACCAAACCTACTTCCACCAGTTTACCTTAAATATGGCAACAGCACAATGCAGGGAGCCTGGAGCATCCTATGGGAAGGTTACAGAGGCTAAAATATACTCATGAGAAGGACTCTAAAAATATGCCAAACCATTCAGCTATACCTTCTCTGGGAGATTCTGCTGGGAAGCTCTGTAGGATTAATGCAAGGTGAAGACGTCTCATCCTTAATCACAGAGAACAGGCTGCATCTCAAAGTGCTGGCCTGGAACCTGCACTAGCCAGGTAAGGAACAATGTTACCTTGGACTGCTTCCATCTATGGGAAAAAAAAGCCTTCTCTAAATACAGTAACTCATGGAGAGAGAGAAGGGAACAGAAGAATTCCCATCAAAGTGAAGTGAATACCTACTCATGCACTTCTTCCCCTGAAAATCTGAGGTTTGTAAGGTTTAAGGACACTTGTCAAGTCAAAAATCCAGGAGCAGACATAGGAATCTGGAGTAAGACAATGGCAAAGCACTGCCTGACATCTGACTGCTCTGTGTCACGCTCTGATGCAAGATGAGCCCATTAGAAAAGACAGAAAGTGGATTTTAGGATCAGTAAATGTCAGAGCAAGATGGGCTACGGCTCACAAGGACGACGTTTAAGTATTATTTGAAACTGTCCTCCAAAAAACATTCCAACCGTCTTACTGCCTTGTGCTCTGACCCCTGTGAGAGGCAGACTTGCCTTTGTTTACACAGGGCTTTCCTGGTTCACTCTGCAGCTTTTCAAACAGAGCCAAGTATGGATGTGTCCCTCTCCATGCTTCAGAGGAAGAGCTGGAATGCAGGCAGGCAGTAGGAGGGCCCCAAATGCAGTGCACAGCACACAGACACCTGCAAGGGAAGGCAGCTGCACCCTGGGCACTGAACTGCTTCATGGAGTTTGCCTTCTCTACAGAGTCACCCAGCAAACATCTGGACAAGCACTCCCATGGCATCT